TAGACCAAGTAGAATTTGCTTGGACCATACACACACACAGACACACAGACACACACACACACAGACACACACACACACACACACACACACACACACACACACACACGGTTCTTCTTTTGTGACACTGCAACACAGTGCTGTTATCTATAAAGTTCCTAAGAACCGCCCAGTTTAAAAGAAAAGTCTGGATGTTTTTTGTCAGATTTGTCTGGGAAGCCTGGAAGCTCCTCGGGAAGAGGGATTATAGTCTGCCCTGTCCCAACTGTAGCCTAAGGCCAGAACACAGCCTAGAGCCCAGACGTTGACTGCCTAGGAGAATAACTGCACAGTGCTTACAGGCCTGTGCCTGGCATGTAACAGGCGCTCAGCGTGGCCTATTTCCTTCCTTTGACTTTCAAAATGGAGGATTCCTGAACCCGTGGCTTTTCTAGAACATCGACTGTGGTCCCATCAGGGTGGATGGAACCTGGGCACAGCATACACTGTGTGGATGAAGCAGTCCACATGAATTCTTAGAGTGCCTACTATGCATTAGACAGTGCAAGGCCTGGTGATATTATCTTATGAACTGTTTAGGATACAAGTGCCAGCCCCTACTGCGTGGATGAGTAGGGGGCCCAGGGTCACAGTGCTCCGGAGAAAGGTAGGGCTGAAATTCAAATATAGGACCCCCAGACTCTAGAGCTTGCCCCCAGCCTGCCTGAAACAACACAAAATCATGAGCATGGGCGTGGCTCACACCAATCTCTTGAGCCCTTAATATAGCCACGTGGCTCCCAAGTTGGCCCCAGGGACTTCTTCCTTTTCCAAAGGTCCTAGTACTTGGTATCCCTAAGGGCTGTGGTGGGGAGAACAGCAGCCTCATGGACTCCCAGGAGGCATCTCAGAGCTACCACAGGCCCTAGGCCTGTGAAACCAGCAGAGCTGAACTGAATGGAGGCCAAGAGGGCCTAGAATTAAGGCCATGGGTGTGGTATTCACTGGTCTCCTTAACTTCCTATGAACCTTGACCTCTACCTCCCCCCACCCAGGTCACTGTCTGCACCTAGAGGGACAGCCACCACCCGGAACTGTTTCCATGGCTATTCTGCTCCCAGGGAGGAGGAAGAGGGACTATAGTTTCCACGGGCAACCCTGTAAACACCTCAGCTACACAAAGGGCACTTTCCCTGGATAGGGAAGCTGGCTGGATCCTGAGCATGGAGCCAGCCCTGAGGGGAAGCTGAGGAAGCTACTGTTCCTGGCTAGGTCAAGGCCACACCCCAGGACATCCTGAAACCAAGAAGGAAGGTGGGCCAACTGTGGAGGAAGGTCAGAGCTCCCCGAAGGGCTCAGGGAGAATTCACAAAACAGTTACCTAGGGGGCAGCTATGGGTGGGGCGGTCCCTGGCAATAGCGCCATGCTATGTAGTGACCCGCCCTGAGACCCCCACAGCTATATCCCTGAGGTGTTCCGGATTTGGATGTAGCAGAGAGGGAGGGGCAGGTCCCAGGGGCTGTTCCACTTACTCCTGCCACATTTGAGGCTTGGAGGAATCAGAAATGAGTCATCCTTGCCAGGGGCTACCCGACTCTGCAGAGCAAGAGCTGAAGCTCATGTGTCTCTCCAGTAGCCTTCCGGATGTCGGGACTAGGATGACAATGAAGTGGCCAGTTGGGAGTGGCAGAGGGAAGCACAGAGCTGCACATGCCCATCTCTCAGAGCTGAAGACCACGCACGGGGACTAAGGGTCCGTCGTCACAGGTTCCCGGCTGTGCCTTTCTTGCTGTGGCCCTCTTCTAACCTCCTCCCTGCACCCAGCAGTGGTCCTTTGATTACCATAGCCCCACGGCCTGTCCCTTGACTTAATCTTGTAGACCCCGGAAAAGAATGGAGCTGGTGGTAGGGTGACACAGGGCGGTGAATGGGCACCCAGGATGAAACCCAAGGCCTGTCGTCCTGTCTCTTAGAAACCCCGGGCCCATCCTGGTCAATTGGGCTTGGAGCTGTCTCTGGGAGGATGGACTGCTCTCCTAGGCTCCTGCTCTATGGAAGCCCACCATCCTCAGCATGTCCTAACAGGGACCTCAGGGGACCCTGGATCTGGAGAGGACCCCTCCTTGGCTTTCAGGGTCCCAGATAACTCAGGGACAACTCCTACCAAATTAATGTGACTTTCACCCTGGCCAGCCAAAGAGGCTGAGCATACAAAGTGCATGGTCCCAGAGGGATGCAGGGACGTAATGATGCAGAGATGTATCACCAGTGGTCCAGACACCAGTTCCTTTGGGTCATCTGGATAGCAGAGGGGCCTGGAAAGGCTAAATCCCAGGACTAATCTCCCCAGGGACCTCAGCAAAGGGGCATATTTCATTTTTTTGGAGTCTATATTTGGTGTAGAAAAAAAAGATGCTTGATCAGGTCTAACAATTCCTAACCCAGACAAATCCCTGAACTACCCCAGAGAAGCGTGAACACATGTGCCCTCCATGCCCAGGCCCAGGCTCGGAGCTAGGTTCTGAGTTTAAGGAAGAGCCCTGGTGTTTTGGAATATTTGTTTATACTGTAAAGATGGGTCTTTGCCAAGGCATCTTCTGATTGGTTTAATAAAGAGCCTGAATGGCCAACAGCTAGCCAGAAGGTACAGGTGGGACTTCTGGGCAGAGAGAGAACTCTGGGAAGAAGATGGAGTCGCCAATCACCAGGAAGCAGCATGGGCAGTACAGACAGATGAGGTAACTAGCCACATGACAGAGCACAGATGAAAATAAATGAGCTACTTTAAGTAGTAAGAACTAGAGGAACAAGCCTAAGCCAAGGCCGAGCTTTCATATTAATAAGTCTCCATGTCATTATTTGTGAGCTGGTGGCCAAAAGAAAAATATGACTACACCCTGGAGTGGAAGTAAGGTACATGCAATGGAGGCTTTCTAACCCAGAAACTCCAGGGAGTCCACGGTCCCAGGAGAGCCTCCATCTCCAGACACAGTGCCCAGGGTCCCAGGGAGTCCATGATCCCAGGAGAGCTTCTATTTCCAGACACAGTGCCCAGGGCAGCTACACAGATGGGGCCAAAGCAGAGCAGGTACTTAGTGAGTGAGGTGTTAAGCATAGGATTTTTTGTTTGTTTTTCGACAGTGTTTCTCTGTATTGCTTTAGAGACTGTCCTGGAACTCACTCTGTAGACCAGGCTGGCCTCGAACTCACAGAGATTCACCTGCCTACGCTGGGATTAAAGGCATGCACCATGAACACCCAGCTAAGCATAGGATTTTTATTAGTACAATATAAAGTTTTAGATTGGAAAGCTCCAGAATCCTGCTGCCTCTTAGGATGGTGAGCAACAGGACAGAATAGCCAGGAACAGAGCCCAGTGCTTAAGACTCTGGGTTCCACCTAGGACAGGAGAGAGTTCACGGAATGCTGAGTACAGTGAACAACACAGGGTGGGTTCTAGATCTTCTCACGGGCAAACTCTTGAGTTTACTCACTCAACTGGTTTCCAAGTGTGCAGACACGGTACGGGGACACAGAAGTAAGTCAAATAAACAAATATGTCAGCTCTTAAGGATCTGCTAGTTCAGCGGAGGGAGTTACTCAAATAAAAAAATTATATAAAGCATTTATAATAAGGTGTGGGGGGTGAGGCTGGAGACATGGCTCACTGACTGCTCTTCCAGAGGACCCAGGTTCAATTCCAAGCACCCATGTGGCAACTTACAACTGTCTGCAACTGTCCAATGCCCTGATACAGACACACCAATGCACATAAAATGAAAATAATAAATCTCAAAAGAAAATAAGGCAGCCTAGGAGGACCACGCTGGAGCAGAGACAAGAGATAAAGTCATGTGGATAACCGAGTCAAGCCCATTCCTGCAAAGGGCAGTGCAAAGGTACCAAGGTAGACACGTGTGCAGTGAGCTTGGGGGATGGCAGTGAGGAGACCAGTGTGGCTGGAGTTGAGGGTACCAGAGAGAGAAGAGCAGGTAAATTCACCAAGGACATAGCAGTTGGATGACTCTAGGCCTGTAGGGCAAACTCAGAGAGAGAGGGGAGAAAGGGGGAGAGAGAGAGAGAGAGAGAGAGAGAGAGAGAGAGAGAGAGAGAGAGAGAGAGAGAGAGAGAGAGAGGGAGGGAGGGAGGGAGGGAGGGAGGGAGGGAGGAAGGGAGGGAGAGGGAGAGGGAGAGGGGGGGGAGGGAGAGACAGAGAGAGACAGAGACAAAGACGGAAAGAGAGAGACAGAGAGAGAGAGAGAGAGAGACAGAGAGAGAGAAAGAGGAGATGCTTGAGGACCTGAGGCAGCCTGTGGCCTGCATCCAGATGTGTCTGGTGAAACTGTGTAAGCAGGTCATATGTGGACAAGTGTCCTGCTCATGAAAGTGAAGGACAAGAGTGTAAGGGTCCATAGAGAGCACAGAGATGACCCAGCAGGTGAGCGTGCTTGCTCTGCAAGCAGGAAGACCTAAGTTTGAGTCCCTAGCACCTATATAAAAAGCCAGGCGCAGCTGTAGGAGCTGGGAGGCAGAGACCAGAGGATCATGGGACTTGCCGGCCAGCAGCCTAGCTCCAAATTCAGTGACAGACCCTGTCTCAAAGCAATAAAATGGAGAGCAATAGAGCAGGACGCCCGATGCCATCTTCCTTTGACCACTGCATCAATGCATGGGTGCATGTAGCCCCCAACCCCCCACTCACTAGTGTCTATAGAAACAGTATTGCTTGCTGCTGGTTTTTTATTGTTAGACAGACCAACTGCCCCTAGCATTCAAGTGTGGTCACTAGGTTACTGGTGCTTTCTGAGGGTCACATTCAACAGTGTCTGCATCTGTCCAACTCTTACCTGTAATACTGACAGTATGCTTAGCCAGTGCCATAGGGCACTCTAGTGACCTAATGTCAGCCCTCTGTACCAGTCCTCCACCACCCCAGAGTCCGGGTCTCCATCCCAAAGACCTAGGCATGGTCCCAGTGATACTCACAGAGGCCTAGCCAGAGGGCCAGCACCCCCAGACTCACCAGGCATTGAGAAGGGGGACAGGAAGACCGTCTCTACTGACTCGGGTTCTGGGGGTGGTGGCTGTGGTGGTGGCTGCTGCTCCTGGCCCTGTTGTGGGTCTTCAGGGTTCTCCCCAGGGACATTTCCATTCTCCATGTTCTCGTGTCTCCCATTTTGCAGTGGCTTGTTATTAACACCATTGGCCGAGTTGATCAACCTCTGTCGCTGTGGGGACGGGAGGCAAGACAGACACCAAGCTGGGTGACACAGAACCATGCAGTGCCTTCTTCCTTACAATCTCCCAACTCTGAACAGCAGCCACCAGTTGCCTCCCATCCTTGCCAGCACGTGCCGTAATCGGTCCTTGCCACTCTGGGTGTGTGCTGGTGTGGAATCTAGCTTCACTCAGCCTTTCTCCAACAACCAATGCTCCGAACATCTTACTAGGTTGTTGGTCAATGGGTTGTCCCTCTGAGTTTCATTCCATACCTGATGAATGTCTTCTCCAAAGACAGCAGCTTCCACCAAACCCATCCCCTTCCTTCCCACCCTTTGCCATGGTGGATGACAAAAGCAGCTTTGGTGCCACCCTAGCCTGGATGTTCTTGCTTGGTTGGGGGCATGGACAGAAGACATACTAAACGAAATCAACAGGGCTGAGGTTGTAGCTCAGTTGGTAGATTATATGCTTAGCATGCAGAATCCCACACTTAATAAATAGGGCTTGGTGGCAAATGCCTGGAGCCCCAGCACTTGGAGGCCAGAGGCTTTAGGGCAGTAGAATCACAATCAAGGATTATGTTTGGCTGCCTAGCAAGTCTGAGGTCAGTTTGGGCTATAAGAAACCCCATCTCAAAAGAAAAGAAATAAAGAAATGACAGGCCTCATATTCTCTAGAACCTGTCTCCCCATTCAGCTTCCTTCACTTTGTTCCCAGTCATGGCTTAGAGATCAGTCCTGTGGATTATGGTCATTCCACAGTAACCTTCAAATCTTCCCTACCACTTCAATAAGAGACTCAGGGACAGAGCCGTGGCCCTCAGCAAACTTCCATAACGGGGTGCCCAGAACCCATCCTGGCGGTCTCATGGGGGTCATTACCACTCATTAATGAAGGTTCACCTTGCTCTGAAGGCTGCTGAGCTGTCTTAATGTAGGTTTGAGACAAAGACTCCTGAGCTAGGAAAAGCTGTGTGTGTGTGTGTGTGTGTGTGTGTGTGCATGTGTGTGCATGTGTGTGTACATGTGTGAGTGTGTGTGCATGTGTGCTTGTGTGTTCTCAACTTTTTTCCACAAGTAGTCCTTAACACTTAGCCCACCAAAAAAAAAGCAAAGGAGCTTTGTCTGATAGTCAGGCCTAGGCATGATGTATTTGGTTAGTTAACTGGGATTAAATGCAAAGCTGCCCATGAAGCCCCATACAAACAAAAACAAATATGGAAAGACCTATTTATGCAGAGACAGAATTATAAAAGCAGGACCATTGCTCCACAGTAGGATGAAGGTGATGATTGTGTATGGGGGGGTGCAGGGTTACAGCTCTGGCTTTGCAGAATCCATGAAGGATTACATTCCACCCCCAAACGTGTGCATAATTAAAAATAAAAATTAAAAGACAATCTTTAAAATGACTGAGGAAATGAGACCACAGTGTCACATGTGTGCATACATGCATGTGTGAATGACTGCCTGTGTGTGAGTGTTTACATGTGCATGTTCATGTGCACATACAGATGGAGGTGTGTACATCCAAATACAATTGTGTAGGTGTGCATGCAACAGGTGACCACTCATGTGGAGGACAATGGGTTAACCTCAAGAGCTGTCTGCTGTTTCTACTTGAAATGGAACCTCAGCGTTGGGATTGCAAGTACATGCCAACAGGCCTGGCTCTTTAAATGTGGGTTCCGAGGACTGAACTCAGGTCCTCATGCTTTTGAGACCAGAACCTTACCAAGTTCTTTCCTCAGAGTGTCTCAATAAATAAGTTTGAACCTGGATATTCTGTAGGTTTTGCTCTGCACTGTTCCATCCTATGAGGAGGGTCTTTAGGCCCCAGGTGCAACCCTCTAATGAAAGTGGATGAAAATTTTAAGGCTGGAAGCATCCTGTCTAGGAACCTCAGACAGGAAGTGAGGCCAATGAGATTGAGAGATTAGTGGCAGGAGTGAGATTAGAACTCACTTCCTTTCTCCTGGGTCCAGCCTCTGTGGTTCTCAGGCTGCCTTACAGAGCAGGGAAACCCCAGCAGCTGAAAACATTTGTGGTCTCAACAGCTGGTATTCACCAGCTCATCAAAACCTGCCACTCTGCCACGGTGTGGTGCACATAACTGTAAACCCAGCTCAAGGAAGCTGAGGCAGAATCTTGAGTTCCAGGTCAGCCTGGACCACATCATGAAGTCAAGACCAGCCTAGATTCCTCAAACAAATAAACAACCTCGAGTCCACATGTGATAAAAGACACTGTAAAGCCATTGCCCCCAATCTTCCAGGGTTATTTATCACACTCCCTGCAGCAGCCTGTGAGTAGTATTCTCATGCTTATGTCAAATGGGCAGAATTCTATACAATTTCTCTGAAATAAATTTCACTAATACAGACAAGAATGATATAAAGCCCAGAAAGGCATTTCTCTTGCTTAATGTACTTTCCACACATATGATACATTGAACCATAAATCAATGCGCAAGTGTCCCAAAGAGAGAATCTTAAGTCACTGGGAAACAACATATGCTAAGTTCCACTGCCTCAGTCCTCTGGTCACTGCGTGCTTCTGAAAAAGAGGCCAACAAGTCCCAGAATGCACTTAGAAAGCAAGGCCTGGAAACAGGCTAAGCTGCTGAGCAACACACCATGTATCTTTGCAGTCCGGTTGAGTGATGTCCGAGTTATGACTGCTTTTTCCCAATGAGGAGACACATAGAACACCAGCGTGGTGGTTTGGAGGTAAATGCCCCCTGTAGACTCATGTGTTTGAATGCGTGGTCTCCAGGAAGTGGGACTGTTTGGGAGGGATAGGAGATGTGGCTTTGCTTCTGGAGGTGTGGGCTTTGGGCGTGGGCTTTGACCCAAAGGTGTCGCTGGGGGTGGACTAGGACCCCAAGAATGTAGAAGCCTTAAAGAAAAGAGCTGGGTGGGGAGCACTTTGGAGTTGGGTTCCCCTAACTCTTCAAACTGTTCAATCCCCTGCTGTTTTAGGAGGGACTCTGCCTCCAGGAGCCCCTTCCCCCCCTTATGCTGCGACTTATGATCCGTGGTAAATAAGATAAAAATGGCTGTTTAAAAAGCCCACCCCAGGCCTAGTCTGTCTCTGTCTGTTCCCTCCTTCTTCCTGGCACCCGCTACTCTGCAACTTGTGGATGTAAGCTCTCAGCTGCTTCTCACGCACCATGCCTGCCTGCCTTTTGCCACACTCCCTGCCAGGATGACGGACTAACCTTCTGAAACTGTAAGCAAGCCTCCAATTAAATGCTTCCTTTTATAAATTGCCTTGGTCATGGTGAACAGCAAGAGAACACAAAGACAACCGGTGATTCTTCAAGGGTCATAGTCTACAGAGAATAGGAGTGTGCTCAAGCTTGGTTCTCTAATTAACATTGTGAAGAAACCACCCATACTGCAGGTTCCCCTTTCCCTAATTAGCTCAACTCTAGCAACTGACAAATAGTGAAATACCTCAGGCGTGGGGTTCCTCCACCTTCTGCTTAAACTTCCATGGCACGCCTCTGCTGGCCCCACCCTCCCTCCCTCCCTCCCTCCTTTCCTCCCATGCCTGAGACTCCAGGATAGGGGATAGGGCAGGTGGTCCTGGCAGACCCACCCAAGGCACTCATTTTCTGGCTAGCCAATGTGCTCAGTCTTTTGACACTACAACATGGTCTTGTTATCTGCAAAGTTCATGCTGAGAACTGTACAGTTGAGTTACAAAAAAAAATCATGTTTTGAGCAAGGTTACAATTTGTGTTGGGTTGCATTCATAATTACTCTCCACCATGTGCAGTCTGAGTTCTGGGTTAACTTACCTCATTAATTATGATCCTGCTGGCCATCCGTAGTCGGGTCCTGGGCCCAAACTTGTTGGTGATCATGATGCGCAGGCCGGCCTCAGGGAAGGTGAACTTGGGAGGGCTGGAGCTCATAATCTCATCCACCATCACCACAGGGGTCTTGCCATAGGGAGGTTTCTCCTTTACTGTAGACCACACCCCATGATCAGTGTTGACTCCTTGGAGGACATTGCTCTAGTGACAGAGGCTAACTTCTCCTCAAGGCCAACATCTTGGGGCTATGTTTGGCAGCTACTCTGAAGTCAGAGGCCTGGCTTCAGCATCTCCCTTGAAAGTGTGACTTACTTCAGAAATACCCATGACTCAGCAGGTTAGACAGCCCCGGTAGCTCTCCCACTAACCATGTGGTACACCCGGCCCCTCGACCGTTGGTGCCTGGCTCTCTCAGATTCCTCTTTTCTATGGGATAAAACTTTCTAAGTCAAGAGGGGTCTTTTGGAGTGGAGAATTCTGGGAAACAGAGGACAGCACTACTGTAACCTTCCCTGGGGTCCTCTGCTCTGTCTTGGTGTGAATCATCTTCACTGCTCTTAGGGTGTCTGCTTCCAATTTTGTTTCCCAGAAGGCAAGCAGGTCAGTTAAGGATTTGGTTCCAGGCCCTAGACTAGACAGTAGGGGTCTTAGAGGGGGTCTGTCTGAGGACATGCTGCTGTCTGGGATCAGTGTCTTAGATGAACTATGACACCCTCCAAGTTGTTGGCTGCCCTCTCCAACTCTTTCTTTTCCCTTGGGAGACAGAGCATAAGGCCTAGTCCTGTGTCTGTGTTCTCAGGAGCTTGGCACGACACTCCAGGTACCAGGGAAAGTAACCAAACCACTCATGAACACAGCATCCTGAAGCAAGTAGCATATCTTAAGATATGCTAAGAAAACAGGTAGGATGTTTCTCCGCACCAGATCCTGTGGCGTCCCGCGTGAAGAGTTGAGTGACCAAGGAGTAGGTTCAGAGGGCAAACTCATGCAGAAGTTAATGGTATAAAAACACACAAAATACACAGCAAACAGCCCCCTCGCCCCGCCCTGCCCAAGCAAAATCACTCACAGACACTACACCCCACGCAGGCAGCAAGGCTCAGCAGACAGGAGGCAGGTGGATTAGAAACAGCCAGGGGCCCATGCGCCTGTCCAAGATGGACACTAACCTCCACAGAGGCGGACAGTGTGGGGCTTGGCTCATGGATTGTGTTTATTGCTTAAAAGCATGTGTTATGGCCAGGATGAGAGCAGATTACTTACAATTTAGAAGAAGAGTTAAGGACACAGAGGCCGGCACAGATGGCCACAGGTGGGTTAGCGTGCGGCGGCAGAATCTGGGGGCAGAGCTCTTGCTGGTGGTGGGGATGCCAGGGTTACATGAAGGAAGGTGTTAGTAGCAGGCTCCTTCTACAGGGAGCCTCAGTGCTCTGGGCTGCCAGAGGGAGGGGCACCAACAAATCCCTGTAGCAGGCACCACACTCCAGCCTCATTACAGATACCCGGTGGAGAACACTTGGCCTCAAAAGCCTGTGGAGCCTGTGAGGCAGGAACCGTGACACCTGGCTCCCTTGTCCCCATCATGCCCAAGCTGAGCGCGGTAGGCGAGAGGGCACTCAGCCGCAAGATGTTTTCCTGGCAATTCTGCCCAAGGCTCGGCATCCCTCTCCCGCCTCTTTCTAAACTTAGGCTGTGTCTAACACCAGGGCAGCTTGGAAGGTCTCCTGGGGAGCTCTCTGAGCTCCATCAGCTTCATCCAGTATGGTAGCCGGTGGCCAGGTAGATGTGAACAAGGCCCCCAGGGAACCAGTTAGGAGACTGAAGCAGTGAGCCGAGCTACATGGTATTGCAGAATTATTTAAGTACGAAAGGGTTTCTTCCTGCTTCTCCTACACATAAGCCGAGCTTCAAGCTTTAGATCTTATATGAGAAATGCAGGTTGGGGTGAACAGTTTATTTCCTATTTATTCTTCCTAGAGGCTTGAGTGTGCTAAGCAGGCACCCTATCATTGAGCTACAAGCCCAGCCCAAGGGACTCTCTGAAACATCAGGAGGCAACACAGACATCCTTTTCTGTGGTGTGATTGGAGAGCCACCAGCCAGGAGGCTGAGGATGGTGGAAAGGAAGTGATGTTATCTCCTGCCATGGCAACATTGTTAGGCAACCAAAGTGGGAAGTCCTGGTTATCTCAGTCCTGGGTATCACTGGGAGCTATTGCTCCCACTCTATGCAGGGGAAATTATGTTGTAGCAACTTGCAAATGGGCCCAGGGAATGTCTTCTGGGGAAAGTAAATAAAGACTGGATGCAGTCCCTGAGTCCACACATCTAGACAGAGACCTTTCCAAACCCAGAAATCAAGACCTGGGCTCATTATCCAACCCTCTGGGATCCTTTCCTCCCAGGGCCTCGCCCGTAGGTGCATCTGTTTAGTCAGGGGTAAGATACTCGCTTTTCCCTCAGTCCCAGTGTCTGGACCAGCTCTGTGACCAGTCTTCCAACTTTCTAGAAGACATAGGGATGGTGGTGTTAAATCCACGAAGTCCTAATATCTCTGGGTACAGAAGTTATGGAGAGTCACCACAGAGCTCCAGGAAAGGGCCGTGCATGTGGGTAGCAGGCTTGGGGAGCCTGGACGTCCTAGGAAAGTTCGAGCTGAGGATCTCATACATGGGAGGAATGGCTTTCTCAGGGCACTGGGGTTGGGCACCCACTGCCAGCCTCAGGACTGCTCTTGGGCAGTGCATCAGGAAGTGGGTGCATCCTGATTCTCTGCTCAGATATTTTTTCTTTGCTATCAAGGTACAAGTGACCTTCTGGTACCACTTATGTGCTGAGCAGGGCAGCTTCTCTCCTGCCAGACTTTGGGACCTGCAATGGGTACCCCAGAGTCCCTGTGACCATGGAGGTTAAATCCCAAACCATGGCCAATGTTGGAGCCTCCCCCTTAGTGGACAGTGTCCCACAATCTGCTCCCTGTGATGCCTGCTGGGAATTTATGAAATACCGTGTGTAACACCTTCATCTCTGTGATATAGGTTTCCTTGGTTCTGCCCCTCATGGGTGTGTCTCCAGTGACTAGAGTGGGGTCTCCTGAATTGCAGCCCCTCTCTTGTCTCGGTGGGTTTCCTCCTCCCACACACAAAGATGTGTGACTCAATAGAGCCTCCGTGACAAGTGCCTTCCTCTTGGAAAAACCCAAGACAGGAGAGGAGACTCTTGTGCAAAATGCATCTGAGAGGAAACTCTGTCTAGCTCTGCCCAGGAGAGAGGCTACTGAAGAACACAGATCCCTTAGCTACCACCACAGGCAAGGAGAGCCTCTAAGTTCAGTCACTTACAATCCGACAGGCAAGTTAAAGATTCCTATGAAACATCGAGTCTTGCCTGGGCCATTGAGGAATAAGCATGGGGGATGCCCAGAGTGGATCAAGGATGCCACATAGCCCTGGGTTTCCTTTTCCTAACACAAGTACCATTAAGGCTTTAATGCTGGTCTGGATAGGCAGCTGTCCCATGATGGGGTGACTTGACAACTAGCTGGATTATTGAGAATTGAGGATATTTCCAAGGAAGTAGCTCTAGATCAAGACAATTCAAAGGCTGTGACCAAGAAGACAGGACCTTGATCCAGAGGCTCCAGGTTCCCAGAGGAGCTAGGGCAATGAGGCTGCTTTCAAGAATGGACCTCCAAGCAGGCCTCTGGGTTGGGTCAGGATGCCTGTGAAGCTTTGAGGCTGCCTCTTCAGGCAAGTGTTTGCAAGCCTCGGAGGTGACACTTTCCAGGATGGGTTTCTCAGAGACAGGGCCTGGCACTTGAGATGTATAGGGAGGCCCAGGTTCTGTCACTTAAGTTTCCTATTCTGGGCTTTTGTCATGGGCAACAACATTGCATCTCTAAAGTCAATCAGGCTTCCCACTTGCCTCTGGAAGCATGGGAAGATTTCTATGATTTAATTCATGTATTTTTTTCTTTTATGAGAATTCCCCCTTCTCATCTAAGTGGGTGCCAATCTGAGCAACATCTCAAATGTGGGTCTTCTTTCCTCACTTGGGGTGTGTGTGACTAAAGGTTGATGGTAACAGGGCAGTGTGTGTGTGTGTGTGTGTGTGTGTGTGTGTGTGTGTGTGTGTGTGTGCTCTGTATGTCTGAAGAGTGGCTTCCACAAGGATCCACAGCTCCTGTCTGCTCAGCCTTACCTTGCCCCAGCAATGGCACAGAAGGGTCGTCATAGCTACCATCATAGAGGTCATTACCATCTTCCAGCTCGCTGCTGACTGGGTTACCATTTGCAATGCTCTTTTGTTTGGTTGTGAAAAACGTTTGCATCTTCATATTGTACCTGTGAGTCAGGTAAGGCAGGAGGTCAGAGCAGTGGAGGGGGTTGCACCCTACCAAGTGGGTGGGGCACCAAGCATACAGTCACAGGGTGCAGGGCATGGATGGTAACTGGGGAGGCTTTCCAACTGAGCTGGAGGGGTTTCTTGTCAGGAACGTTGGAATCATATACAGTCTAGAGGCACCTGTTTCTACTGAGCTATAGCGCCCTCCTGGGGGTGTCAGAGGCCTTACAACTAAGGCATTTAATGCCGCTTGCAAGCTTATTCTTATAAAAGCCATTCAGCCCAAGCAACTCAATGGGCTCCAAGATGGCATCACCATCATGCCTTTTCCCTCCCCAGAAAGCAACTGTTGCTCAAGTGGACAGTTTGGTGACCATCTACCTCCTGTGTCACTCATAGTCAGCACAGACATCCCCTGAGAGAAGAGGGGATCTCCATCTCTAAGCCTCTCTGCTGGCTAGAAGCTGTCGATGGGCAGTCACTGGAGAATTCTCATACTGCTGGACACTTTGATCTTCCACTTTAGAAAATACATTTTGTGAAATAATTACATAATACTATGTTTTATATAAAGGTGAGGATCCTCATAACACTCATGGTGCTGTCTTTCTCTTTAGTTACATGAGAGACGAGAAACCTGCATGTAACTAGGCACATGAATACTCATAAATAGTTATTTTTGGGTAGAATTAATTATACATATACACATGTACATACATATGTATTATGTATATATATATATAATTTATCACTAGAGTTATTGCCTATATCATAAGAACACACTTTGGTGAAGTTGATTAAACTTGTTATTATACAATCATCATTAATAATTCTCCAACTTTATCATCCCAACAGCAAGCCTGCACCCACTAATCACTCCCCACCACTCCAGCCTCTCATTGGCCTCTAATCTATGTGTCTCCATGGACTTGACCTTTTGGGATACCGTGTGAATGCTGAATTATATATAACATTGGCCTTTTGGGAATAGCTGCTTCTTTGTGGTGAGCCTTTAAAGGTTTATTCATACTGAACCACATGTCAGAATGTCATCTTTGTGGCTGTCTATTCTTCCTCCTTGGTAGTTTCAAGGTGGTTCAGACTCAGGTAGTTTCCAAGCGGTTAAGGTTTCCCAACCCAGAATACAGTGCTTGCAGCCCCAGAATTATGAGTGGGGCTCTGTTTTTGGGATCAACAATGGCCCTGACATGTGGAATTTGGCAAAGCATGGGGCAGAGGTTAAGTTGATGGGACTTTTGAGAATTGTATTGTTACTAGACTTATCGAAACAGCAAAAGACTGGTTACCCTGGGGCCAGAGGAGTTGCCCCGGGCAGGGAGGGACATGAGTCCTTCCTTGCTGGGGACTCATCTTTGGAAAGTATCTATCTGCCCTACATCAGCTGCCCAGCATTGTCCGCTAACCTGGGGATGGACTACACCAGTGTCTGAGCCAGGTCCCACCCTGGATGTCCTCAATGATGTCCACTAGAGAATGAAGGCTGCCCCAAAGGAACTGGAAGAGGGGACCAAAGACATGAGTAGGATATGGAGGGAAAGGTACCTTCATGTCCCAGGGATGGGGAGAAGCCACTTACTTCATGATAAGGATATAAAACACGTACAAGATGATGAGCACTAGGCCTTCCCACCTTGGAAAGAAAGGAGAGTATGGTTAGAGTGAAGGAAGCCATGGATCCCACAGGCTGGGGCTACATGGTCAAGGTTAGTGGCCTGGTGGGATACCCTCATTTTTCTGTCCCAGGGACTCAGGTGGAACACCCCAGAATAGGGCTGTTTAATCATTGACAGTCCTCTTGGTAACCACGAGAAGGCTGGGTCTGGGTCTTCTCAATCATAATGGTCTACAGGACTCAGGAGAACCCCATCCCCAGATGGCAAATCCCATGACCTTAGCCTTAAGAGAACCTAAGCCTGCCTACTCAGGAGTCTGTTCAGGCACGAGAGAGGCTATAGGAGCAGGCAGGAAAAGGCCCAATCCCTGGGCATGGGACATGATGGGGCACAGAAGCCTCAGGGGTCATTCACTAGGCACAGTGTGGTATTGTCTTTTGGGAACATTCTATTTCTTCTGTCTGTGGATATAGTCCAGCCCTACAGGCTATGTGTGTAGAGTGGGGTGACATCTGTGACCATAAACATGAGAAACCACATAGTTTTTGCTTCTGACAATGTGCACACTGGGTTTGGCCAGTCATCTTGGGAGCCCATCCCTTGCTAATATGCAGCTCACAGACCAGAAATGGACAACAGATCATCTCAGTATGACTGTCCCAACCCATCCACAGCTGAAGAAATGAGACCATGAGTGGCCTTTAACCAGGGATTTCTGGGTACTGGGTATGGCACTACTCTTGTCAAGCAATTGCTCTTCTCAGTGGTCATCTAAGTGTGTTCTCAGAAGTTGTCACCTACAGGATGTGTGGCATACGAACTGAGATGCCAACATACCCCACAGAGTAGGTAGAAGAACCAACCTATTCTCAAAAGTTCATACTGTAAGTTCATACTGTATGAATCTCAGTCAAGAAAGTCAATTCCTATTCCATGTCACAAAGTATTTTCTTGTAAAAATTATTTTTTAAAAATTGCTAATTTTGATGTGTATGGGTGTGGTATATGTATATGCACCTGTGCATATGTATGTACATACAAATGCATACCCACATGCATGTGGAGGCCAGAGGTGGATACTGGGGGGCTTCCCCTAATCATTCTCCACCTAATTTTTGAGACATGCTTACTCCTTGGGAATCCTCCTGTCTCTGCCTCCCCAGTGCTGGGATTAGGATGCGCGCCCCCAAAACAGGCTTTTTATATGGGTGCTGGGGATCTGAACTCAGGTCTCCACTGCTTGTGAAGTCCGGCATTTACCAGCTCCTTGGATTTTATAGTAAGACCTGAGCTTGATTCCTCTACAAATCACAAGGGAGGGATCTGCCTGGCATGCCTTTGTCTCAGTGGCATCTGAGGCCCCACCCATTACTCGATGCCTTGCCAGGGAACCTCTGCTACCTCCGCCCCCCCCCACAGACTGACCCATGACCAGATCCTTTCTCATTATTGCTTATCTTCGTGTGAAGTATGGCTGCCCTCATTAATTTAGTTTTATATGTATCTTGATAGTAGGCTGGGCAGAAACCTTGGAGGAAATGATTCTTGTCACTCTAATATGACAAAGGCAAGGCCACTTAGAATGCCAGGCTCATCACTTCCATAAGCTAGTAAATTATGGTTGCAAAAATAAATCTGAAAGTGACTTGACAACCCAACATACACAGATACTGGCAGTTAACAACAAAGTGTTAAAAACTTACCACACAATTTCCTCATCATATATGAACTAGAAAGCAAAGAAAAAAAAGATACACTTAGTACACAGAAGAAAAGTGCAGGCTCCAGGGTACCTGGATCTAACACACTGGCCTTTGATCTCTGAATTTCCCAGTTGCTCGACCATAGAAGGTGACCTTTCCTTAGTGGAAACCTAGGCAGCTCTGAGATGCAACATGTGCTCCCGCTCGCCGGCTCAGTGTGGTCATCCCAAGAGGCGGCCTGTGTTTTATTATAGCCCAGATAGTTGCTGGGGCAGACCTGGGAGGAGCTTCCTTTGCTACGAGAACAGAGTTGCTAAAATTCAAGAGAATGCAGAGAAGACAGCTATACACTTGTGCATCCACAGGTAAGTGGTAGAGGGACAATGGCATAATTCAACACATAGGCTAATCTTAAAGTGTACCCAGATAGTTTATAGAATATTATTTCTGGTGTGTCTGTGAGGGTGTTCATGGAAGGGACTGACATTACAATCAGTAGACTGAGAAAGGGAGATCTGCCCTTACTATGGGTAGACACCATTGAATCAGCTGAGGACTCAATAAAAAGGCCAGAGGATGGTAAAAATGACCCCATTTCTTCTTCCATGTTCTCCAGCCTGTTTATAACTCATGCCAGTGGTATCATGGTTTCTCAAGCCTTTGGTCTACGACTGGGCTAGGTTACTGAATTCCCTGGGTCTCCAGCTGGCAGGTGGCATGATCTAAGATCACTTGAGCCCATTCCCCAATACATCTCCACCCATCCACTCATCTATCCTTCCATCTATTGGTCCATCTACCAACCTCTCAGTCTATCCATTCACATCTACCTGTCACTCCATCTATCCTACTGGTTCTTTTTTCTGCACAACCCCAACCAACACACCTCCCGTCCAGCATCCCTGGGACAAAACACAAATGAAGGATGCTCTGTGGCCAAGGGAAGGGGTGAACTCCACAGTCCCGTGTAGGAGGAGGTGGCAGGGATGCTCCCAGTAAGCTGACCATGGAAACAAAAGGGTCCCCACGTATGGTGCCAGAAGAGGCTAGGGCCTATTGTCTAGACTGGGGTTTACTGTCTGTCAAAATGGGCAGCACACACAGTCCCTGCTTTAGGAAGACACTTCAAGCTCCCTAGTCAGATATCATTGGCAGCCTTTCGAACCCAAGGCTCTGAGGAAAGCCACTCAACAGAGGGAGAATCTGAGATGCTCTTACGAGGACAGTTTTAGCTTATACACCCCAAAGGAGGGCTACTGGCATTTACAGGCAATGACAGCAAGAATGTGATGCAAATAAGACATGGAGACAGTTCTACACTATGAAGTTCTTTTCACATTTGGAATGAGAAATATATAATGTATAACTTATGTAGTAAGTATGTTAAAATCAAATATTCAGGCAGCAGAAAGATCATGACTGCGGCTTTGACTCTACTATATAAATCCAAGTGTTTAAAGTGAATATTTAATTCACAACCAGGAAAATGTGCTCTTATGAAAACTGAAGACTGTTCCTTGGTCATTTTAGAGTTTTAGGAGGAATAACTCATTATCTGGGAAATCACTTCACAGTGGGGACAGGGTACCAAGCCCCAAACACTGGCAGCAGTCTGCCTTTGCAGTAGTGGGCTGGGAGAGTTTCTGGACGGGCAGCAGATGACATCATTGGATATTCTAGTGACTTTCTGCCAAAATGATTATCAAAAGAACACCAGGATTTTATGAGTTATTTTTATTGCCCATTTATGGTATATTTAGGGCAATGTGGATTTATTATTTGAAATCTCACATAGGTATCTTGTTTCCCCTGTCAACGTCATTTTCTGAGTGTGGTGGGCGGTTTCGGAGCTGGCCTCAGTCATCCCACTGATGTCTATGTTCTCTGTGAACATGGGGCGGGGGGGGGGGAATGGGGGGGACGGGGGACTGCTGACTGTGAACGGGGGGGCCGGGGGGGGCAAGGGAGGGGGTGGGGACTGCTGACTGTGAACACGGGGGGGGGAGGGGAGGGAACGACACTGCTGACTTGCCTCTGGCCATTTCCCAGGTGGAAGCACAGCCTTTTCGTAACCTGCCTTCTCAGCTCCTCGCCTTTACAATAAGGTAGGTGCCTTGCAAGCTACATTGTGGGATGGCCTGCTAGGCATGGAGGTTAGTTAACAGCTACCAGAGTGTTCCTGAAGAGGGTGCTCGCCTGACTGTGTCCTGAGACCCTTTCTCTTCGTAGTTCAGCTGCCCCCAGATTTCCCACTCCAGGGATCAATGCTCGCTGTCTTAAGCTGTTAGGTTTGGGGAATTTTTTTTCTTTTTGACAGCATCTCACTATAACAGCCAAAACTGACACATTTCTCCTGCCTTAGCCTCCCGGGTCCTGTATCTCTAGTCCCTGACTGAAGGTGTGCCCTACCCAGGCCCAGCTCTGGAGGAGTTTTGTTACAAAGTAGTAGATAACTAATATAAGGGTAGTCATACCCCTGGGCCTGGAAAGATAGAAGGCTGTCACACATTTCCTTGAAATCCATCATGCCACAGGCTTCTGTCCTTGTGCACTGCTGTAAAGACCAAAACTGCCCCCCTATGGATGGCACAGACGTGACAGCATGTTTCACTGTATGGGTCACGATGCCATCCCAGCCCTTGGGGCCTGAGGGGACACATTTCACGTTAATGGACCCCAGGGGTCCCCTTTTGGCTCCTCTGCCTTTTTATCCTTTTTCTTGTCCCCAGCTCCCAGCTGCCCCCGTGATGGCTCTGAGGTGGTCCTCTCCTGCTCTGCGGTATAACGGGACCCAGAAACTTGCTTATCCCTATTAACTTCGCAGTCCTGAATACAGCCCTTCCTTGTGCATGCTAGGCTAGCATGCACCGAGTTGTATCAGCACATTCCTAGTTTTCATCTCGAGATACAATACGATCACCCCAAATTGCCGAGGTTGGTCTTGCCCATGATCCTCCAGCCACAGTCTCCTGAGTATCTAGGTTTACTGCCCAGCTTGGAAGCTGCTTCTTAGAAGTGGGTCTGAAGAGTGGGTGGGTCTCACTGTAGGAAGGGCCTCCTGTAAGTACATGCTTGAACTGCTTTATAATTTGTTTTGTTCAAGGCTTTTCATCATCAATATGGTCCTGGATTTGATCACATTATGCAGGGACCAAGGCTGAGGTCTTTAGAAAGGGAGGCACAGTGTGAGGAGCCAATGTTGAACAGTGAGGGAAGGGTCAACACATTCCACTGTTGGTGACATGACCTCTCTTGTCATAGGGTCAAGAACAGACAGGCAGGCCTATGTACCTTCATGAAGCCCTGGCCCCCAACACTTGGGGGTGTTTGGGGTGACTCACCGCAATGAGCACGACGACAGAGAGTGTATAATACACAGAGTCACGGCACACAGCCCACCATGTCAACCGCACCACCTGCCAGGTCAGAGAGCAGTTATCAGCTGCTGTTGCCTAGAGGCTGGGAATGGGGCCAGCCGCCCAGAGAGAGGAAGGCCTTGGGTGCCTCCCCAGCTACCTCTAATTCTTGGCTACAGCTTGTGAAGAGAGCAGAACCAAATAAAGGTCTCAGGTTGGGGAAACCAGAAACTGCTCTACTCCTCTATGGTAGTAGCCAGGCACATGCCATAGCAAGAACTGGCCATTAAGGTAGAGGTAAGATGTGTCACCATGTCCCATCAACTGCCTACCTCTGCCATCCTGAGCAAGGTAGGGCCTTGCCATGATCTCCCACTGTGAGGCAAGCCCAACATTCCCTGAAACTCTGACCTAGTATCAAATGGGTTCTGACCACTGCTAGCCTTGTGCCTTTAGGGGAGACAAGCAGCCCAGATGACTCCAAGAACAGGGTCCAAGGAGATCCTTCTTAAGTAGCTGTTGCAGGAATGCCCACCATAAACTGGTCAGGTCCCCAAACCTTTCAGGCTCTCAAGCTGTTGGAAGGGGAGGAGTGTCAAGGCTACTGTATGGGGAGGACATGGTTTGGAGGACAATGTAGATAAGTGACATGGCTGGCCTCATCAGGGTGTCCCCATTGCTACTCCAAACATCTCAGAAGCTCACCCCCATCCTACAGGATACCAGTCAGGCAGGCAAAGAAAAAATCCACTGACCTGTCCAGCAAATAGTCCACACACTCCAATGATACATAGGATGTTAAACACAGCAGAGCCCACAATAGTCCCTACACCAACATCTCCATGGGTGATGAACACACCTGGAATGAGAAAGAGATAAAGGCTAAGCCAGTCAGTGGAGCCCTGGGAAGCTGTTCCTCCCATGCACTTATGCTTTGCCATAAAATCAAATTCAATGTACCCTCCTCCTCATCATTATCATATGTATGGTGTGGTGTGTGTGTGTGTGTGTGTGTGTGTGTGTGTGTGTTTGTGTGTGTGTGATGACACATGTGTGGCAGTCAGAGGACATTTTCCAATGGTGGGTTCTCTCCTTTGGTTTAGGGGATTGAAATCAAGTCTTCAGGCTTGCATGCCAGGCACTTTTACTGACTGAGCCATCTCAATGACCGGAGCCCATGTTTTTAAATAACTTTATTGAGACATAATTAACATGTCTATTGACACAGTCCAGCAGTTTGGCAGAACCACAGATTTTTACAACAAAAGTCATAATCTAATTTTAGAGCATATTCATCATTCATAAGAAGCCCAGTACCCATCAGAACCCTATACTCTAAGAAACCACCCATCGACTTCCTGACCTCTGACTCCTTCAGTTTACAGGAGAGGAAACTGAGTCTCAGAGATGGTTGGCGCCCCCACTGCACTGGACAACAAGCCCTGGCTCTCTCTGCACTGTGTCCTAGCTGCCTGGTGTCCTTACCGATGACAGAAGCAAACAGCTCTGGTGTTGAGCTTCCTGCAGCCATGAAGGTGGCACCAGCCACATCTTCACTCAGATGAAGTTTCTGAAACAGAGAGAATACAGGCAGTTGGGACTGGGTGTGACAGGGTGGATTGGACACAGTTACTGAGCTGGTGGACAGCAGACAGCTCTCAGTGGCACAGGGCTGTTCTGAGCCCAGCTCTGCAGCCGTAGCCTCTCCTCCCAAAGCACATGCCCTATGACCTCTGCCAGACTTCAACTCTCCCCCCCCCATCTGTTTTCTCTTCATTCTCTGTACTCCTAGATCCCTGCTGATGACATTTGAGGGAGTCTCTCCCACAATCCTAGAGGCAGCCACACCCTCTCAGACCCCAACTCTTTTCTCCACATTGAAATAGATCCTGTGACAAGGGTTTGCCTTGTAGTACACACTCACCTTCCCTCTGGACCATGAAGGTAGAGCTGGCATTTGCCACCTGTGGGTCCCTGGAGCCTAGAACAGGGTGGAGTCTAGAAGCTGTCCCAAGGCTATGGGATCTGAACCACAACACATGCCTGGTTCCTACATTCTGGATGCTTCTCTGTGGCAAGCCCAGCATCTAGACAGAGTCTCAAACACCCAGAGAGCCTTCCCTCAGGATTAAGCTGGCATGGGACAAGGCTAGGAGCTTTTTTTATGAGTCTGTGCTGCTCAGCAAGGCCATGTTCTGGTCATGGAAGCCCATCATCTGATCCAAAATGGAAGACAGGGGACCCCTAAGTAGCCCTAGGTGGTCTGGGCTCTGGAACCCTGTAGGAAGGTTGGGGCCAGCATCTTCTCCCCATTGGTCAGTTAGATACCGAAGGGTCAGAGCTCTGGGCTTGATACAGACTAGGGGCATAGCACTGCTTCCCAAGTCCACCACCTCAGTGCCGCAAAGAGGAAAGTCTGTAGAGGAAGTGGACACATCACTTAGCATCTGCAGCCACCTTCCGCAGACTGAGGCCATGCCGCCTGCTGTTCTGCCACCTCCTGGCCTTGGCCTATGCCATTCTTCCTAGAATCCTCTCCCCGTGCTTGCTGGAAATACTCCCCACTTTCCCAGCTTCGACACACGTCATCTCCTCGCAAAAGTCTTCCTAGGCCTCTCCGCAACAGTGACATCCCCTCCCTCTAGCTTCCTTGTCACCAAAGGCCCTTAACGGAGGACTAAGACCTTTATTCATCCCTCTGTCCTTAAGTCCACAAGCAACCCTGATACACTGGCACCTTCAATGTTTGCAGCCCTAACCCATTTTCCATAGGTTTCTCTCAACCCCAAAGAGGCCCCAACCCTACTGTTGTAGTTTTCCAAAGATATCACCCTGGGAGTGGCCTGTGCTCACACATGTTAATCCGATACAAGGTATTTCCTAAAAGGCTCCTGGGTTAAAGGCTTGGTTCCCAGTGCAGCAGTATTCAGAGCTGGGTTTTGACAAGTGACTGGATCACATGGGCCCCAACCTCATCAGTGGATTAAGTCACCAATGGAGTCATAGTTTTGATGATATTATCTGAAGGCACTAGAAACTTTTGGAGGTGGGACCTAAAGAAAAAAGTGGATCGCTAGGGGTGTGTTCTTGGGGTAGTGATTTGTCTTCAACACCTGTCTCTCTGTGTCTATGTCTCTTTCTGGCCACCATGAAGGGAGTAGCTTTGTTCTATCAAACCTTGCTGCCATGATATCTGCCCTATCACAGTCTAGAAATAATGTAGCTAGCTGACCTTGGACTTAAACCCCTGAAATCATGAGCATAGGTAAGTATCTTCTTCCTTAAATTATTATGTCAGGTGTCTTGTCAGAGAGACAAAGGTCCAACTCACATAAGTTAGGGCCATGGCTGAGTTTTTCCTAGGTGGGGGCATCTTCCAGAGCAGCCACAGTATCCTTGCAGGAACCACTCCCCCCCAGCCTCCATCCTAGGGGTCCTGCGATAAAACCTGCTGCACTAATCTCCCATGATTCATGGGGGAGGGCAGGGAGGAGTCAGGGGAGGGAAATGCTTCTGCCAGCTCACAATATGGGGGACCCAGGTTCTAAAGCAGCCGTTCCCTACTGTGCAGTGACACAACACTCCCCTGGTTGTACCCAGAAACAAGCTGAACTGAAGGCAGGTGTCTGTCTCAAAGAGCCATCTGTCCCCACCCTGACAATATGGCCTCAAAGAGCTGGGTGACTTCACAGGGTGAGGGGTGGCAAATCCCCAAGGGGCTGCACTTGGTAAATGCTGCAAACAAAAGTATTTCCCCCCCTATTTGATTAGAAGCTACAAACAAGGCAGAGCACAGGAGTCCGGGGTCTTGCGTACGGGAAAGGAAAAATGACGGGACAGAATAGCTAAATGAAGAACCCTGTGTACACGGGACACCTGTCACCTGGCTTAGTGTTCACCCAAGGGAACACTTAGGGAACACAGGTCCTCCCTGGGACTGCCACCTATGGTTTGTGGGAAATGTGCCAATGTAGCCACAGGCTTGCCTGTTCCCTGGCTGGCCAGATTTGGCTTCATACCCCATGGGTTCTAGAATGGTGGTTATTAACCCGTGAGTCACGACTCCCTGGGGTTCCATATCAAATATTTACATTACAATTCATAACAGTAGCAAAATTACAGTGGCAACAAAAATATTTTTATGGTTGGGGTGGTCACCACAATATGAGGAACTGTATTGAAGTGTCAAAACATTAGGAAGGTTGGGAGCCTCTCTTTCTAGAGTATGATGGCCTGGAGGGTGACTTCACTGACATTGATTGGGTGTGGCACTAGGTGGCTGTATGATGATCTTCTCTACCAGAGTGCTTTCTGTCCTAACTCAGCCTTCTTGTCAGATGCTCCTAGTCACCCAGGGCTTTGTGGAGGGTTCCAGGTCCTTTCCACGTACCTCACAGATCTTCTCCAGGGATGGGACAAAGAAGTCATCACACACGATGGCCAGGGCATAGAACATGTAGAGAGCCTGTGAAGGGAAATCTAGGTTCAGTAAAGGCTCCACACCAGGCTGCGGGCAGAAGCACACATGGGAAGCCACAGCAATGGGGAGAATTGTTCTCTCCAAGTCCTCCCTGACAAGGAAATGGAGACCTCGAGCGGGAAAACAGAATGCCGAGAGGCAGAGAGTCATAAATCCAGGTCACACAGGTCTGTACTTCCTCCCAGAACTGTCACAGAGTAAGAAACACAGATTTGGAGCTGGGCAGGGTGGCACATGCCTGCAGTCTCAGTCCTCAGGAAACCGGGGTAGGAAGATCGCAAGTTCCAGGCCAGCCTGGGCCTCATAGTGAAATCCTATTTTAAAAAGTAGAAGACAGGAGCTGGGAAGATGGCTCAGTTGGCTAAGTGCTTGGTGTGTAAGCCTAAGGAACTGAATTCGGATCCCTAGCACTTATGTAAAAAGTGGTGCAGTGCAATGCCTATAACCCCAGCTCTGGGGAGGTAGAGACAGGAGAACTCTCAGAGCTTGCTGAACAACCAGTCTAGCTGAATTGCTAAGCCCAGGTTCGGTGGGAGATGATATCTCAAAAAATAAGGTAAAACCCAATTGAGTAAAACACAACACTGGTTATTAGAACTTTGGCCTCCATAAGCATGTATGTGCACATGTATACATGCGTAGACATGCACACACAAGCACATGAAAGAGAGAGAGAGAGAGAGAGAGAGAGAGAGAGAGAGCCATGATATATATAGTGCCTCTGCTCTTATAAAACCAAAGCAACCCTGGAATGGATGTGTATATGTTCCAATAAAACTTTATCCATAAAAATCAAGTAATGGTTTGGGTTCAGTCTTCTAGTCTTACCTTGGTAATTACCACTCTGAAGGTTTCTTGCCAAATTCCCAAGGTACTGACTTTCAGGTTTTTTTTATAGGGCAAGGCCCCTGAACATAGGGGAAACCTGCCAAATTTACATCTCCTAGTAAAAGGGGATGGAAATCCAGGATGCCTGAAAGATAACAACCCCATCCTAGAAATAACACGCAGACCCACAGTTTGAAATTTGCCCACAATCCCCATTCTAACCACCACTTTCATTAGTGGTTTATCTTGCCAATCATAACTTCACTCATTCGTCATCTTCTGGTTCTTGTTCTCTGTCAGAGAATTAAATTATGTCTAGAAAAAGACTAACTGTTGGCTCAATTTAAATGTATAAGCAGACAGCCCTGGGCAGCCCAATTACTGAGCAGGAGAAAATTTGCTGGGGCTGATTTGAAGAAAAAAAAGAAAAGCCAACTGTGACCAGCCTCACTTCCTGGCAGCCATTCAACAGCATCTTCTACTGGCTCCCACGAGGACCAGAAAGCGTTTTGGGGCTCTGTAGACCATGTACTCCGAGGCAGATTTTCAGTCCTGCCACCGAAGTTCAAAAGCAGACACAGAAGCCACGTAGTGGTGGCACATGCCCTTTAGTCCCCGCACTCAGGAGGCAGAGGCAGGAGATCTCAGAGAGCACAGCCATGAATGGGCTGGCTGTGTTCTAATAAAGGACTTGACTTATGAAGGAGCTGGAGCTGTAGCTCATTTCGTAGACTGCTTCCTAGCATACACAAGGTTTAATCCTCAGCACCACGTAAGCTGGACAAGGTGGCATACTCCTGTAATCTCAGCACTTGGGAGACGCATGTGGGAGGATGGGTGGGCGAGGGGGGCAGTGGGCCAGAGGTTTTTGGTCATCCTCAGCTACACAGTAAGCCTGAGGTCAGACAGCAAACAGAAGATGCTATCTCAAGTAAATAAACACATAAATAAATAAATAAATAAATAAATAAATAAATAAATAAACCTTTGCAAAAATAGGAAGGGAGGTGGAGTCTGGCATGGGCTAGGATTTGTCCTGTCTAAAAACAGCAATCTACACTTAGGGCCTGACTTCCTCATTCCCACTTAAGTTGCCCTTGAACTCCACCGTTTGCCATCGGAGTCTGAACAGGGAGAGGAGATGGCTATGGCTGACCACCCTGAATGTGCTGGATCTCATCTGAATGTAGAGAAGAACGAGAAGTGTGGAACACAGTCACAGGAACCACGGCGGTGAGCATTTACAGAGGGCCTGTATGCTACTCCGTGTCTGAGGAAGTCAACATCTAGTCCTGATGTGCACTCAGGGGCCATCACCCCTATTTTATGAAAACAGAAAATGAGACACAGGAAAGAACCATGTCCTTGTGCTGGAAGTGGAGACACAAGATGACGCTGGGCAAGTCACCTGACAGTTAAGAAAAGCCTCTCATTGGACAAGAGAGCCTAGTTTTCTTCCCAGGCTGTTACCAGGAGCAAATAAGTGCTCAGACAAGCTATGGCAGTGGTTCCCAACCTGTGGGTCATGGCCCCCTCAGGGGCTGCATATCAGATATTTACATTATGACTCACAACAGTAGGAAAATTACAGGTATGAAGAAGTAACACCATAATTTTATGGTTGGGGGTCACCACAACATGGGGATATGTATTAAAATGTCACAGCATCAGGAAGGCTGAGAACCACTGCTCTGTGGTCATTATACACTATGGTCATTAAACAGATGGGGTTCCGGTGCCAGAAGATTAGTGGCTTCTGGCCCTTGAGGACACTTACACCAAGGATGTGTAGCAGGACAGCACCATGCTGTCGCTCTTTGTTGGAGAACAGGTCTGTAGGGAACTCGTGAATCGCTGGAAGAGAAGAGGAGACAGTAGGGTGTTAGGTAGCAGTGCACCTTCCGCAAACCTACTGGACAGCCACAGTCCACCAAGGAGTTCGGGATCCCTGACTTCAGACTGACCAATCAGAGAGGAAGCCAGCTGGATCTCAGTGTGGGCCAGACTGATGCTTTTAGGAGAACGCTGGTTGCTGGATTAGTCACGGGTATCCCAGTACCTGAGAGCTGACTGGGACTGAGATCTGTCTTGTGTCTTGAAAGATAGCGTAACGCACATCACACATATTGGGATGACTAAAATTAAAGATAGACACACTGTTGGGTGTATGAGAAATAGGGTGGCTTTAGGAGCCCCTCAGATAGTGACACAATATGCCCAGTGACAACTCATCTGCCTCAGAACGCCCACAGCCAGTGTGGGAACGGTCCCTTCTCACTTTGCATTACTTCATGCTATCGGGATGCTATCACAGTCACCAGCCCTCAGGTATCTGGGAAGACTGCTGGTCCACAGCAGGCACTCAATAGATGTCCCAGACAGAAATCCTGCTTTGTAAATACAATGTCGCCCTAAGCTCCAAAAACAAATGTTATAAAATCTCACTTCTCAACATCAGATTCACTTGACAAGAAACTGAACCTGGCAGCTATCCAGGCACCAGACAGCCTGCCCACTTTGAAACAAGAAGTACTTAAAGAAAAATGTCTTCATTTCCTTCTTCATGTTTTTTTCTTTTCTAATCAAACTTCTTATTAAAGAATGGCAGCTATCAGTTCAAGAGCCTGCATCTGCTACTTGGAGATGGAGAATTATGGAGGAAGATATTCCGTGTCCCTGTGGCTGGGACTCTGTTTCAGGAAGCGGAAACCTCTGGGACTTCAAAGCACAGATCCTTAGACCATGGTTCTGCTGAGAGATTTCAAGACATTCCCTGGTTCTCAAGCCATTGTGAGGAGAGCTGGCGATTGGCACGATCCTGGGGCATCTTTGAGAATGAGAATAAACCTCTGCTTTTCTGGAGTGGAGGGCATGTCATCTGGCCCCCAGCCAGGATGGGGCTGTGGGTTGTATAAATAGCTTTGTCCCTGGTGTGACTAGACTTTGCACAGAGATGCTGCCTTCTCTGCACTCCTAAGTGCATGACAGAAGGCTGCAGGGTACAGAGAATGTCATCCATAGTCTTAGTTTTGGCAGCAAATCAGTAGGTGACCTGTGGAGCTCCCAGCTCTCATGGGTTCCCGTAACAGCTCAAAGCCTTTCACACATTGGGATACGGGTGCTGAACTACATACATATGTACTAGCATCACAGAGAGAAGTGACGGGGTGAGGGAGTCCAAGACTCTGCACTCAGGCCTTCAGGTTCATCTACTTTGGTGTTTTCAGTAAGAAGTGTCCCCCATTGGCGGTGGCATCTGAATGCTTGGTCCCTGGTTGGTCTGTTTAGACAGCTTTGGGAGGTGTAGCTTTGCTAGAGGAAGTAGTCATTGCAGATGGGCTTTGAGAATGTAAAGCACTGCCCCGTTTACTCTCACTGCTTCCTGCTTGTTGGTGAGCTAAGATCTCTCTGCTTCCTGCTCTGGCCACGTGCTTGCCTGCTGCCACGCCTCCTCAACCACGATGGAGTCTTATCTCCCTTATCCTTCTGTAAGTTGCTTTTAGACGTGATGTTTTGTCACAGCAACAGAAAAGAAACTCACACAACTCCCTATGGACTGTGTGGCCGAGTCACCTAACCTCGAGGGCTCTCTGCTTCTTCAGTGACAATCTACTGTGAAAGCACAGGGCTTGGTGAATATATATGGCACCCCTTGGCTTGCACAGCAAAGGCGTCAGTGGGTAGAGGACCATACCAGCCCTCCCAATTGGCTACTGGCTGAGACTGGTTCACTGCTGCAGGACTGAACCCTCCAGAAGCTGGCACGGCACCAGTGTCAATCCCTGTCACTCTCGCCCTGTCACCAAGAACAGCTCCGACCTTCAGACATGTCCTGTGTTCACGTGTCTAATGTCTTCAGAGCAGATGGGTTGAGGTTTCGGGATACACTTCTGTCTTTTAGGACCTGTGTGACCTTAGCAAGCTGATTGTGTGATCCTTACAGACTCTGTGTGTAAGACAGGTGTAACCCTGGCGACTGTTCACACACCAGTACATTCTGTCCCCACCGTTGCAGCTGATGTGCATCCTTGATATGTGAAAGTAAAAGAGACAATAAAATAGCTTTGCAGGGGTGGGGTGGGGTAGAAAGGCCATAGATGGTGAGAGCAAGCCAGGCTCTGTGCAGATCACAGGAGAACCTGCCTGCTAGAGCAGTGTCATCCCAGGTTCCTGAGGAAACCTTTCTCTTTCCGGCTTGCCAGAATGAGGAGCACCCAGACCATGTTCAAGTGTGTGAGGCTTGCAAATCTGAGAGGGGTCACCATACCCTAGGGAGGAGGGAGGGATCATCAGGGCACACACATGGCTTTTGAGGTCACACCTAAGCTCTTAAGCTGCAGAAATCCCTGGTGGCAGGTATAGGGGGAGGAGAGATTTGCCTGCAGGCCCTGAAACCCAGTATCCTCCAGAGCCCAGGAGGAGGGAGCCAGGAAGGCAACACAATGAAAGGCAGCCTTCCCTTTGGTCCTTGGCCCCAGAAGGACTGTCTGTCACTGATTCTGGACATACTCAGGCATCCTTGTACACAGAATCTACCTGTTTTTGCATTCTGCTTTGGCATGTATGCAAGGCCCAGGACATTTGGGGAGATCTCTCATGATACTTACCTTCCTGAGCACTGGAGGGGAGACACTAGGGGCCTTGGGTCTATTAGTAACCACAATTCCTTCAGCACCTACAAACTGCCACTTGAAATCCCCAAGGAACACTTTAGCACTGTTGTGGACACAGAAAGCTACACAGTGATTTTCTGCCAGCATTGTCCTTTTCAAGATATACTTTTTGCCAGTGGTGCTGTTCATCAAAATGTATGAATTTATTCAGTGGGCATTTCCAGAGCACCTACTCAGTGAACCTATATTCTGGTGACTGCTGGATAATATTCTGAGTATCTTGAGCCTCCTTAGTACAGCGGCTGCATCTTGGAGGGTGATGTGACTTTCAGAGACCATCAAAGCTATTGAGAAAGCAGAAGTCTACTAATGTGGGAATATCCCTATCCTGAAAGAGTAGGAGTTAACACTTGTACCTCAAGTGTTTACACCACACCAAATGTTAAGCTGAGTCTCAGGCATCTGTCCCTGTGGCACACCTGGCCCCAGTGCATGGGATAAGTTAACAACTGACTGTCTTAAGGTTTCTCTTGCTGTGAAGAGACATCATGACCATGGCAACTTTTATAAAGGAAGCCATTTAACTTGGGCTTGCTTACTGTTCAGAGGTTTAGTTCATTATTGTAATTATGGCAAAATAATTCTACCATCCCCAAAGTCCCTTGTGCTGAATATTTATAATCAATTCCTCCCTAGTTCCCAATTCTGGCTACTAGGGGTTAATATGTGCTCTTTACAGAAGGTCCTATCAATGGAGTCCTATGACAGGGAACTTTTCAGTCAGCCTCTTTCACTTAGCAAAATGCTTAAAGAGACATCCATCTTGTATGTTCCCCCCTCTTCAGACTTCCTCGTTTAGTTTCTTTGACTCCTTTTGCTCTCTGTCATCTCACATGGCTGGGTCCGTATCCTTGGCAGGACACCTGAACACTGTCCTTAGGGCTTCCTGCCTAGCCCTCTTTTCTCTGTGGTTTGCTTTTCTAATCTCTGCAGGCACCTCCCAAGTCTCAACATTTCTGAGCAGCAGTTGTAACAGAGCCCTTGGCAACCCTGTAGGCACACAAAACACATCCTCAGTGAAATGGTCCACCATCTATATGAGCTGCAGGAAGGAAATCCTGGCACAGTCCTTGATACCTCCCATTCCCTCAGATCCTATGATATAGGAAAGACCATGATGCATCCAGCTTCCAATTTATTTTCTTCCATGACCTTCCCATGGGGCACTGGTCACGTATACATACCATCATATGCTGTGTTCTGATGAGCCTTGACTTGCTCTGAAATAGATCCTGTTGACCATGGGGACTTCCAGAACAGAAAAGAGGTCAACTTTCTTCTCACTGCTGTTTCCACGGGCAACCATGGCTATAGACACTGACAGGCTCTGCTGACAACATTCTGAGAGCAGCGTGTTTTGGGGTTTGATTATTCTATTTCCTGCTTGCCTTAGTCCATCTGTGATGCTGTAACAAAACATTCTAACCCAAGGTGCTTACTAAACACAGAAAACTTACTTCTCTCAGTTTTAGAGGGTCAGAAGTTTAAGATCAAGGCCTTACTTCCTAGGTCTTGGAAGGTGCCAACTCTGTGTTCACATGTGGATGGGGGTTAGGCATCACTCCAGAGTCCTCCCCGACCAATGTTACTGGAAATTGAACCATGGGCATTATGCATGTTAGGCAAGTGCTCTACCACTGACCTATATTCCCATTGCTTTTTTCTTTTAATTTTGATACAAGGTCTCACTAAGTTGCCTGGGATGGCTTTAAATTCACTTTAACATCCATCTGGCCTTGAATTTGTGGATCCTCTAGACTCAGCCTCCTGAGCAGCTGATTTTATAGCCTGTGTTACCAGGTTTGGCAGGGATGTTGACCTATCCCCAATGGTGAAGGCAGAGTCCTCATGACCCAGCCAACTCCAAGTCTACCTTCTAACACCATCACTTTGGGGGTTAAGATTCCTTGCAATTTGTTTTTGAGATGGAATATCATTACATAACTATGACTGGCCTCAAACTTGTGACTCCTGCCTGTTTCCTGAGTGCTAGGATTATAGGTATACATCACCACACCCAGCTAGGATTTCTCATATGAGTTTGGGGGTGACCCAAACATTCTGCCCATGGCACCTCTTCCTCGGGTGTTCCTGTACTTTTCTGAGTACCTGATTGCCTGAATTCAACTCTTTTCTGAGTAAAATATCTAAGATGGTGTCTACATCCTGTAGTAAGCTGAC